AGCAACGCTTAGCAACAATAAAAATGCAATGCCCGGTTAGACTTTCAAAATAAAACGCTAGCATTGCAAAACATCGGCATTTTGAAACGGCACGTTATTAAAGTTGTGAAATGTTGCAATTTGGTTAGGTTTAGGCACAAAAAGTACTTGAACAGGTTTAGGCAACAAAACTTCTTGGTTAGGGTTCCCCCACTGCAGTGAACTATGACGCCCAGTGCCTTACAAACTGACGCCGATTTGTTTTGGCCATGCGTGCATATGTGACAAGTCGGGGAGTGAGAATGGGTTGGTCAGACAGGAAGTCTGTGATCTAGCTGCAGGTGGCATCAGGCACACTTAGCTGGTAGTGCTTGTACTGCAACATGGTATTAACCTGAACACTGTTTAATCTTTCTTCTTAAAGTTGTGAAATAATGCTCAGTCCTCCGATTAAAAAACACAGATAAAATATAGATGCAAGCAGCTATTCACGGATTCAAACCTTTTTCCGCAATTTCAAAGCTATTTCACAATTATTTGACACATGTGGTTCAACAATATTATGATGAGACACAGTTTTTTATTTACAGTCTGATTTGTGTTATGCCACACTCCTTTCTGCCAGTGGCAGACGCTTCGGTTTGAACCCTAAATATAAAACACATATCACTACATTATAAATGAACTCTGAACTGCACACAGCCACAATACTACAGCTAATGAAATGCAGTCCGCAAACACAAAAGAAATTACTAGCTCCCAGCACACACAGACTCCAACACAAACTCCACGGAAGGATAGAAAACAAAAAAAAGTTTTAAGGTGTGAAATCCGTGAGGCCAAACGAGAATCCCAATGAAGGTATTGTATCCAGGGCTTGACATGAACATCCACCAACCCGCCAAATGCGGGTGGATTTCAGGAGTGGCGGGTAACACAGTCACTCCCACTAACCACTTAGGCGTGTTGAAAAATTGCAGGCATCTGAAATAACAAACAAATTGCAATGTTACACTACGATACGACACTACAGCTCCCATGAGTACTACCTGCACATGGTCCATTGTTAAAGTATATTGTCCTGCTCGCTAGTGATTGACGACACTGTTAACTAGGGCTGGACCCGAATATTCGAATATTTGATTATTCGCTCTTAATTACTATCGAAGCATAGAAGCTCAAAAAATGACATTCGGGCCAGTACTACTGTTAACAAGAGGATGTTGTGGAGATTAAACTAGCAGACTGTCTGTCGGGAGCACCGGGCTGTTTGGTCTACACTTATCAACTACCAGCGGCAGCGATGACAAAGCAAGCTTTTTAATAGAAGGAGGATCCTCACAACAGGCGCATCTCACCGTCTCCTGCAGTGCTGCCTTTTGTCAAACGAGAATATAAAAGTTGGATCAATCACAGGGCAGTCACAGTCCCTTAGACCTTTGGAGGGTCAGTCCCCCTAATGGTATGATCTCTGTCATAACACGCGACTGGTCGCTGTGCACACACACATTAACACAGCGTTCAGTCAGTGCGTGAGTGTGCGTGGCTGACCAACACATTCTCATATCAGTGCATCATAACTGACGCTTTTAGACAGCGTAACAAAGCGTAAGGATTTTATGCTAAAGTTACCCTTCAGCGTCCGTATGAAACGCCCCCATTTGCTACGTTGCAGCAACACACCGAAGGCTAACCCCACCTGTTAGCACAGTGTGGAGAAGAAATGCACAGGAGAATGAGAGAAAGAAAAAAGGCAGAGCTGAGACAGAGAACAGCCAGAAGGAAAGTGCCGTTAAATGCTGTAAAATTACAGATATCTTCATGAATAAGGGACATGGTGTTTAAAAAAGGCAAAAACATTACTACTACTACTACTACTACTACTAGCAGGGCTACCCTCATGTCACATCATATCATCATATTACAACTACCTTTCCAGGGTTGATATGTAATTTGTTATTCTTTGCTCACTGTTTCTAATGCACATAATTTTTCTACTCTGTATTACAGTATTTACACTACAGTGTTTCTGATTTTTTTCAGTTTAGTTTTTATGTTTTCAATCAATCTTTTACACTCATGCAGCACTTTTATTATATACAATAAGAAACTAAGAGCCCAGAGCAAACAATTGCATGATCATTTACACAGTCTGAGCATCTATGTTTTGGGGAACAAAACATGGTCCTTGACTGGTCCCACTCAAGGAAGGAGAAGAACAGCTAGTAAGGAAAACAATCAACAACCCCACATCTCTGACCTAAACCCTGCACATGTGGACAGACTGGAATAACAAGAACAATAATAAAGATGGAACAGGTTAAAGATTTAAAACAATATATAAGACATAATAAAAGGAGAAAAATAGCACTCTTATAAGTACTTGCATAAAAGATTATAAGTGTAAGAAGAAAACAGTTTTCTGCCCTTACATTACACAGCTAATGACAATATCAGTGCATTTTAGCACGCCATAGTCAACTTTAATCACACATATATAACATAATTTCCCAACAACAAAAATGTGTGTAGTTAAGATGCTGCAGGGCTAGTAACTTTGGAAAACCCCTAGTCACATTGGCTAGTGAACAAAAAAGTTAATGTCAAGCTGTATCGCTTGCCAGATTACTACACCAGCTAACGTGATCCATATTACTATCCTATGTACTGGTATTATGTCAAAGTGTTGATTTAAGCGCGCAGCTGTGGATCAAGGGGTAGCGCGGTCAGAAAGTCAGTGGTTCAATCCCTGGCAGTCTGCATGTCAAATGATCCTTGGGATGTGTGTATGAATGTGTATTTCTGTTTCTGATTGTAGATGCAACTTAGACTCTCTCCATCAGTGTGTGACTGTGATGTAGTGTAAAGCTCTGTGAGTGGTCAGAAAGGCACTATACAAGTACAGACCATTTAGCCAGCAAGAAATGTTACGTTACAGAGCAAATGTGGAGCAATTTGTTTATACTAGCCTATAGTGACGCAATGCAGGGTCAGCCAGCTACATTATCATGGATGCGGTTTGCTTCGTAATGTTAATTCAGAGTTATTTTCATTTTACTGATACTCGGGTACACAGCTTCTTCCCGGTCTCAGTCACTGTAATTTAGGTGAACCACATAATAAACAATGATGCAGCATAACAGTGCAGGACAACAACATAGCCGAAGATCCATCCAGTAAGTTCCAGTAAAATGACTTACCACGTTCTAACTGTTGTACCAATGTGGCAAAAATCACATTTATGATGTTCACTCTAGTTCACTAACACTTTTCGTTATCATCCAATAACCATTTTGCTGAGCCTCTCTGGTGAATGAAACACAGTCAGTGCCAAGTGCTCACTTGCAATCTGCAATCTGAAACCCCACCGCTAGAGGCCACTGAAAACTACACATGGCCCCTTTAATATTTACCAAAAAGTGCTGCAAATATAATTGCTACTGCTCATTGTCCCACTTTAAACCATTCAAACTGGTTGATAGCGCACATTTGTTTGGAACTATTTAACTACATGGCAGCGAGAGCAAAGTCTGGTACAACTCTATTCTTTAACAGTGCTAGTGATGTGTCAGTCAGAGAGCTCATAGAGCAGACTCTTTAAAGTGAAAGGTGTGAGCCAGCTCCGGTCTGAGAGGCAGTTTCATTAAAAAAAAAGTATCAAAATTTAATCTTTCAAAATTTTCATTTTGAAAGATTAAACAGCTAACTTTACAAACTACTCAGCCCCAAACTATATGTTGCTTTATCAGAAAGCAATGTGACCATAAAATTTTTATTTAAGCCATGTATTATATTAAGCCGACTAGTACGTAGGATGTGTTGTGAATCATTTAACCTGTGTTTTTCATCTGATAATAAGATGAATAAAAAGCAGGCATGAAAACAGTTTTCATTGGCTGCATTAACGGACCCTAATATTCCACTAATAATTGGTATAATAGCCCAATCAGAATAAAAACGCCTCATGTGACCACCACAGTCGGAAGAGACTGGCCCAATTCAGGCCAATCGGTAGGAATTTTCAATCGGGTTGAGAGGTGTGGTGTAAACCTTTGATAATGCGTTCAATAGAAAAATAATTGCATCTTATTATAATTGTATAACTGCTTATGACATTTAAGAAGAGCGGTTACATTGTGGAAAGATGTATGATCAAACATGCGCAAATAGATTTTCCAAGACTCTGAAATTAAAGTTTCTTAAAACACAGAAACCTCGAGGGACATAAAGGTGACCTCCTACCGTTTGACACGCCCCCCGGAAGAGTGACTAACAAAACCCATGCGACCTCTGTCTCCTTACGCTTTCTTACGCACTCTTATTATTAGTAAGAGACTGTTACGTTCTCTTACTATTCAGACGCTCTCCTGAAACCGAATTCCCGCCTTCAAAGATTTCCGCCCGGGGAATATCTCTCTGACTGCAGAATTGTCCATCCTTCTATGTCCACTCCGGACTCGGGAGATTTGACTCGCCTATTTCTACCTGGGATGAAATTTCCCCACACTAGCTATCTTTTTAGATTTACCTCACGTTTAATTGTCTTCACGAGGTCTCGTGAACTTTTAATGATTTTACCTTTCCATTTAGTTTGAAGTTAGTACTTTGTTTATAACTTGTGTATCTTCTGATTAAGAAGCAACCAACAGTTTCTTTTGAAACCTTACTTCTGTTTCACTACTTCTGAAGGCCAACAGAGTTAGTCACACGTCAATTATAATGATTCCCCCACAGTCAACAACTAAGGAACTAGGCAAGGTGTAGGCCTACTTAATAAAGTGGGCAGTGAGGGTATATTCCACCTTTGATTCCCTTACTGCTGGTTACTATAATTTAAGTAGTGGAATGCTTCCACATCAGAACTATACATTCCTGTCTCAGCACCACTACACAAGGACTGCAGCATGAAATTACTGTATTCTTGATGTACTTTGAAGCTGCAGCAACAAATGTAGCAGCACCTTCTGCCAATACAACTGGTCATGTGATATGTTTGTAACAATAATGTGCAGACAGGCTTCCAGAATTAAAGAATGTTAAGGCTTTATTTATAACATACCTCTTTCTTTACAAACCATATAACTGTGGGCTGTTTTACAATGAGAGCCATTGCAATAAATACAGTTTGGGAATACAAAGGGAACAACATGAAACTATACGTCATGTAATGGAACTAGAAAGCCTAGCTGTAAAATAGAGCCAGCTTGGGTCTAGTCATCTGCCCTAACCGTAGCCAAATAGCCACCATGCTTATCATTATAGGAAATAAAATCTAGTGATTAAATGTAAAACATTACAGACAGAACACAGGGGGGAGATAGTCACATCGATCAGCCTATTCTTGAGAACTACACATGGGAATTCCACAACTCCAATTTCACATGGATCAAGCAGCAGTTTCAGTTAAGGAATACAAAAACTGGAATGCAGCAGCTTCACCTGATGCTACACCATCATATCACATATCACTACTTCATGGTTCCATCATTAAGACACATTTTAAAAAGTGGGTAATAAAGAATGCTCTCAAGCTTAAAAACATGTTTATGTATCTCATTAAATGCTACTGCAACTTCTTACAACCTTTGCTGCTCAGATCAAAGAGTCTAGGTGAAAAAGTAAAGCACTCAAGGCAACATTTCATTTTAAAGAAAAAAAATACTAGTGAGGATAGCAAATGACTTGCTCTGTTGTGAAGATGATAAAATACACTTGTAACTGTTTTTCTGGACGTCTCCACTAATAGTCAATGCCCTGATCATTGTAATGGGAGCTGTAATTGTCATGGTAACCTCCATGATACTCGTCCTCTTGGAACTCAGCCTGATAGTCACTGTCGCTGATCTCCGAGCCATTGGTGCCGGTCCCCTGGCTGCCATTAGTGTGGATGACTGGCTCTGTTGAGGGGGCACAGTACTTGGGGTCGTAGACCTGTCGTCCCAGACCATACACACTCATACCCCTCTGAGACGCCACCTTGTTGGTGCCCATCTGGAGGGAGATGGTGGAGTTGTCCAACGGCTGCATCGCCACCTTCTGGTCAAAGATGTCCCTGCGGGTACCAGGGGCTGACATGCCCGCCTGCGGGAAACCACAATGCAGCAGAAACTTTACAACATGATAAAGGTAGTACACATCCACTCAACATGTATTGAATGATCTGTACAACACATTTTTGTAGACAAATGCATTTAAAAGAAAGTTCCCACACAAGTTCATTAATCATTAATAACGGATTATCCGTCATTCAAGGTTCAATGATCAAGGTTAGTGATTAAAACCATTTTTGGGAGGTAATGTCACATTGTTCCACAGGTTTAGCCAAAAAAATTATATATATATCTATATCTATAAGGGTGAGTTTACATCATGACATGATAAAGCTCATCCTCATTTTTCAATGATGTGATCAGCATGAAATTTTATGGGGTGGAGGCAGAAATCTCAGAGTGTGAAGAATCTCAAAATGTGGACAAATAAAAATGAAACTATCTCCATTAATAGATACCACTAGATGTGGGTGACATCAACATCAACATTTTCTGTTTAATTTTGTTGAACTGACCCCTCAAATATAGCTGTTGCGCCAGGTGAAATCAGCTTAATACTATACTCATTTCATGATCAAGGCAGATTACGGATTTGGTGAAAATAAAAAGATGCAGAATTAAAAGAGGAGTGGGTTTTAACCTGGCTGGCTCCTTTGTTGGTTCCCATTTGCAGGCTGATGGTGGTCTGGTCGTAGGGTTTGTCAGACTGAGTCTTTGGATCATACAGATGTCTTCGGGTTCCATAAGCAGTCATACCGGCTTGACTCGCACACTTGTTTGTCCCCATCTGAGGTCAAAAGGCCAGCGACAGGATTTCATCAAATACAATCATATTTCAGTTTAACCCTAAAATAAACCATCAACACAAACCATTATATCAGTTTTGGAGGAACTGTTTCTTTTTTTAAAGGCAGTTATATAAGCTCTCAGTGACATCAGTCTAAAGATACCAGTTCATGTGCTGGCATTAAGAACCGCTTAATCACTAGTCGTCGTTACCTGCAGTCCAATGACACACTGACCGGCCTTGATCTTCTCATCGTCAAAATGTCGAGCTTGTTTGTCTGCATATTTCACCCCAATATCAATCTTTGTGTCCATGCCTTTGGTCTTTGCCTAACAGAGAGGACATAATGATCATAGGACTGGTGTGACGTTAGATTTGTTTCCTATGACAATAGAAATATGTTCCTCAGTAGACAATGACCCTACTGTACTGTGTTCACTCACCATGCTGGCCAGTGCAAGCAGTGTGGTCTGGACTTGAGTCATGTTCCCATTTTCAAACAGGTCATTGGCCTCAAAGATGTCATTGGGCTTTAGGCCATAGGCCAGGATAGCTTTGATGAAATTCCCAAGGTTTTCCAGCTGCAGAGAGCAATGGAAAAAAGAAAAAAAAACAGAGGAGTAATGGGGGATGGGCACAAACTCACACAAAAGCAGAAGGAAGCAAAAACAACAAAAACTAGAAGGGTACTCTGAGAGCGCAGACCTCAAGGCCAATAGTCCAGTCTTGTATGATATGAAACTCTGCAAGTGCAACCACTATACGTCTGGATCTACAAAACTATTAGAATTACAGTATGTCAAAATATGTTTGTGCCTAGCTGTTTGACGTGGCTGTTATGCTTAGTTGTGTGTTTAGTTGTGGCACACCGTTCACTTTAATCACAACTGGTTCGCACATGTGCAACAAATTCAGTTCATTTTTCTATAGACACCAAAGTTACCAGTGACCTATCTCGCAATGTTAACGAAAGTGAAAAATAATTTGTGAAAAATAGTGTCTGCCTCGTGATTCAGATCCGCTCTAAAATGTAGTGGGTTCATGACTATGGGGGGCAGTTGTTTTTCTGTAATAATGCTGAAAAACAAACAAATGGCACGGAAAAAACATAAAGCTGTTAGCGGTGAAAGCTCCATGAATGAGTCCACTTGTTCTCAGAGCCCGATGTGCTGTGACTGGTCTTAAACTAGCAGAATGTCCTCTTTATGATGACCTCTGAGAGACTTCTTAAAAAAATGACCATTCTTGTTATCTGCAGATGATGTGACAGCATTGCATTTTCCAGGTCAGAACAGATCTTACCTTGTGCCAGTTTAGCTGTGAAAGGTTGATTCTCTTTACTGAACCAGGTTGCAGCTTATTAATCAGCCTGAGAGAGGAAGGAAAACACAACATGTATCAGAACATAGTGAGATCTATTAATTATTCACACACACACACACACACACACACGTTTGTCCCTCTATCCCCATGGAAACATCTCATTGACACAATACATTCCCTAGCTCTTTACCCTTATCTTTAACATCACAACTAAATGCCGAACCTTAACCCTTCCCCTAAAACCAAATCTTAACCCTCAAACAACGCTTTAATCTTGTGGGGTCCAGCATTTTTGTCCTCACAAAGCTGTCGGACCCCACAAGTATAGAGGAATCCCGAAACTTACTCGCAGAGGATGACTCCATCTTTCAAGCCTTTCTGGAAGTTCTCTCCAATGGACATTCCCGTCACTTCCTCGATCCAGAAACGGAGCTCCTCCTCCTTCTGTGTGTCATATTTCTGAGCAATCTGAAAGACATTATGATACGTCAGCATTCCATTTTTAAAAAAACAAAAAACAAAACATACATTAATAAGTAATACGTTAAGTTGAATCTGCCCTAAGCCGCTTTGCCTGTCAACAGCTCTATATGATAAGGGGCACAAGTAAAACATTGTCTATTTGTACTCCTGTTCCACTTTTCATCAGAAATCCAGCTGGTACATACAGTGGTCTTTATTATTTTATGAGCCCATACAGCAGTATATAATCATCTACTTTACTGATAAATGAGACCACAAGAGTGAAATCACCTGATAAAGAGATGATAGCCACACATTAACATGTGCAGTGTGTTAAGTAGACACAAAGTAATTACTAGTAGGTGGGGTGGAAAGTACTATATGAGACAACATCAAACTTAATTAAGCAATTATTTCTAGTAAAAAAACAACAAACACACTGAAGGAATCAGTAGTATTGTACTGCAAGTACTTCAGCCACTTTGCTAGCCCAGTTGTTTCTGAACAGTTTTAAGTCTGGAGTAGGCAAGGGGGAGGCAAGGCAAGACAAGGCAAGTTTATTTGTATAGCACATTTCAACAACAAGGTAATTCAAAGTGCTTTACATAAAACGTAAAAACAACAGCGAAATACACTGCTCAAAAAAATAAAAGGGAACACTAAAATAACACATCCTAGATCTGAATGAATGAAATAAAGTGACACTATAATAACACAGCAACCTGCCTGGTATAGACTTTATCCTGCACCTTACCATGTCAACATAACCTAAGGAATATTGATCTTATAAAATAACTTTATGTATTTGAAGTGTCTGCAGCTACTCTGAGGACGGTCCAGTTGGATCTTTTCACCTGAGAAGTTTTTACTTGCCTGTCAGACAATTATTGGTATATTTATGCTTTAAATGTTAGTCAAAGTTGTAAATTATGTTTGCTACCCTTTAACAATGCTGTACTGAATATTGCACAACTTGTATTGTGACCTGTCAACACTGAAGTAATGCTAGTGAAACAGAAATGTCGTGTGTTGCTATGAGTCATTATTTACTACCTGTAGTAAGGGATTACTGGCTAAACTCTTTCATATCTTCAGTCAGGGTGTTAAATGAACCAAGTTATTTGACCATCCTAAATGCAATTTTTCACAACACCTGTTTAAACAGTGAAATAACCTTGTGCAAGAACATGATATATTTCTCTAATACAACAGAACCCTTACTACTGAATTTAAAAATGACCAAAACTCTCCTTAAAAAGCACTTTATTCATTGTCAATGAAATAGAAATGTACATGGTGTATATACTGTATAAGGTTGCAGGTAAAAGACTTCTGGTAAACTGTCTTCCTGTGGATACAGAGATTTTCCTGATGTTGCTGGCTGCTGTGTTGTCTTCAGGTTGATGCTTGACAGAGGCACGGCACCTGCCAAACAATAACTTACTCCTCCGATGGGTCCAAGAACACTCGAGCCTCATCAGGTCACTCAGAGTTTCTGTAAAAAATGGCAGTCAGTGTTACTTGTAAGACAAATACATAGCAATATTACAGTACTACAGTATAACTAGTAAAGCAGGGATCTACAGTAGTATTTCACTCATGTGTCTATGCCTATGAGACTGCTGTACTGTCCAACTGGAATTAATTGTTGTTTACATAAAGTGTGGCCTAGGTTGTGAGGGTGGTGCTGGTGTTTGTGGTAGCTGTCACGGGTTCAAAAACTATAAGCTCCACATGCCACAATGCAGCAACGTGTCAATCACATGAGAGTTTTCTCTGATGAATGTTTTCACTCGTCACTGTGATGAAATGTTTTAAAGGGCTGTGTCCATGTTTTAAAAGCTGTTTTCAATGTGTCGAATTTCCTAAACTCAAACTCTGTCTCAACATTCTAAGGCCCATGCTAAGTGTCCAGATACAAGGTACTTCACTTTGAAAGTCCTTGTACACAAAGAGGAGCAAGCAACACACACATGCAGTTAATATGTCAATAAACTCTGTGTTCCTAAACATTTTCACTGTGCTCCTAATTTTTGTCATTTAGGAGCACGTGTACTCTTTGGGGAAAAAGTTAGCAGAGCAGCTCAGAATAGTCCTAATAAATTAGCGTACAAATCTGCACTCATATGATGTCTCTGGTGGGTCAATGTAGCAGACAACATCCCTTGTTGCAGATACCTGCATTGATATGTTGACCTGTATGCAGGAAACCGTTATGTGGTTACACCAACTCCATCTCAAATGTGTAGTTATGGTAACAGCTATACATAGTGCAATATCGGCCTAGCTGCCCAGCGAGCCACTGCAGAATTGTGGTCAGACCAGGCTAGATGCTGAGTGCTAACCAAAGCTACACACCTGTATATTGACAATTTATTTTTCCACATGTAGCTATATAGTTACTTTCAGGGTATGTCTAGCAAGTAAATTTATCTACCATTGCTTACTTCTACATATTTTGTCGTTTAATCCAATCAGTTCAGAATCACTGATGTTGCATTTAAAGCAAATGGAGTGAGATGAAGCTTTGGGTATTGTCTCGGTAAAGACTGACTGAGGGAAGGTTTCAGAAAGTTGTTCCCGATTCCCTCATTCTAGAATAGAATGTCCATATATTCTAATACTAACTTGCCACAATTCACAGACTTCATTGAGAATTTTAGCTTCATGAATCTTGAAACACCACCTCACAAATAACCTAAATCTAAAGCAAAATTAATTCATTATTCTACCACAAAAGATTCATCACTTAACATGACTATGTCAGTCTCACTCCACACTACCATGAAATATGCAAGTTGTGCAACAAACTGGCAACCACTGGAATGGAATGCGAGTGCTATATTTAAATGCTGAATCTTATCAATGCCATCAGTGGTACTTGTAAGGAGCAACATTACAACTGGAGTGTTTGTGTCCACAAGTCCATGCAAGTCCAATATTCACTCTCTTCTAGATCTGTCTGGTAACTACCAACTCTTCAGGGAAATATTTTGCTCTTTAGCTGCTCAATGCTCCCCCGTGTTCGCCAGCTAGTCTTAAACTGTCCGTCTGCTGTTTGGTGCTGATGTAAAGTAGGTTTTGAGAGTATTATCACTGAAAACAGCTGCCTGCTGTGGCCGAGAACAATGCCATGAGAGCGGTGAGAGTGAACCAAAACCACAAAACAATGAACTGTAACTGACTGTAAAGCACTGTAAAGCTGAGGGGAGCTGCAGATACAGGTTCATCAGGTTTCAATACTTGCCTGCTTTCTCACCTGCTCTTTTATCCGCTCTAAGAGTGACACAGCTGGATGCACGCGCACACACAAACACACACACAGGAATGTAAAGAATGTGTGAATGAAGTTCACTCACCTTGGATCGTGGACTGTCGCAATGTCACACAGGCGCTCAGAATCAATGTCACAGAATCTCTTCTGGACCGTTTCCAACAATGTGGCTTTCAATGTTTTCACACCATGGCCAGTCTCTTTTTCTTAAGAAGAGTTAACACTCATCGATGGTATAACATCTTCAGCTTATCCAGTTGCTGAGATGATCTGTTACGTGAGCTCTTCAATGGGGGGCGAGCAGGGAAGTCATATTTTCCACTGGCTGCTGAACATGGAAGGTCATAGACAGTTGTTCCAGTTGACTCTGTAGCATATACAAATTACTAGTACACCTGGTGGATACCTCTTGCTGCTAGCCCAGTTGTTTCTGAACAGTTTTAAGTCTGGAGTAGGCAGGGGGGAGGGCAAGGCAAGTTTTTTTGTATAGCACACTTCAACAACAAGGTAATTCAAAGTGCTTTACATAAAACATAAAAGCAACAGGGAAATATAAAAAAGTTTAAAAGCAACATAGGGAAAAAATACACATTAAAAAATAATAAAAGTTACAGTGCAGTGTACAATCAGGGTTAAAAGAGTTAAATGGAAAATAAAAACAGGCTGAGGGGTTGAGCAAATAATTGAGTAACAATTATTTTGAAAAGAGAATAAACAGAGAAGTACACTTAATCTGCTCTCTCTAGCTAGTCTGTACTCGGGTCCATAGCAATCTTTGGGTCCACTGAAACTCCAAAAACCCTCGGACACTACAGAGAAACCAGGACATGTCTGTCCGCAGGCCACTTTGATCCAGTTATACTCTGGACCCACCTGCGTGTTTACAGGTGTACAGAGGTTCCTGCAAATCACTCAGGCGTGAGATTTAAGACCACTTCCTTCACTCTGTTCCATCTCACACTCATTATGTTTTCACTCAATTACCTACTCATTTCTCACCGTGTAAATATTTAATTAAAAGCAATGGTAAAAAGTTAAAAACAAAGAAAAAGAAAACAGGACAGTAAAAGTTACAGTGCAGTGTAAGTTATCAATCTACTAGTTAAAGGCAGTGGTAAAAAGAAAAATCTTAAATATTTAATTAAAAGTAATGGTAAAAATTTAAAAGAACTGACAGTTTCAGCAGACCTGCGGTTATCTGGGAGTTTGTTCCAGATATACGGGGCATAATAACTGAACGCTGCCTCTCCTTGTTTAGATTTGACTCTGGGGACAGAAAGCAAACCTGCCCCAGACGACCTGAGAGGTCTGGCAGATCAGAAATGTATTTTGGCCCTAAACCATTCAGTGCTTTATAAACTAACAGCAGGATTTTGAAATCAATTCTTTGACATATAGGAAGCCAATGTAAAGACCTCAGAACTGGAGTGATGTGATCCACCTTTTTGGTCTTAGTGAGGACTCGAGCAGCTGCGTTCTGAATCAGCTGCAGCTGTCTGATGGATTTCTTAGGGAGCCCTGTAAGGACACTGTTACAGTAGTGGAGTCGATTGAAGATAAATGCATGGATAAGTTTTTCCAGGTCTTAATGAGACATAAATCCTTTAATCCGTGATATATTCTTCAGGTGATAGTAGGCTGACTTTCTAATTCAGGTCTGAGTCTATGACTACACCAAGATTTCTGGTTTGAATTGTGGTTCTTAACATTACAGATTGAAGTCGAGCGCTGA